CACAGAGATCTGGGCAGACAGCAGAGGCGGCGTCTATCTCCTCACTGACCCCACTACTCCTTCAGAAAATTCCAGTCTAAACTACACATCACACAACGTAGTGTCGACCTAGATATTCAAGTTCCATGGGCCCAACCCACCTCATCTCTGCTCAGCGATCTACCTCAGAATAACTTAAGTGAGCAGTCACCCGTCACTCATTGATCAGGACTGTGAATGCCACACTCATTCTGTTTTGCTTCGATGTCACCATCGGTCCTCGAATGAAAGACACAGCAGCCTGGAAGACACCCACGCTGGCTGCCCAGGGCAGGCTCATGTCCCTAGAAATCCTTTCCAATTTCCCACACTTTTCCCAGTACCTCACTCCTAAGCTACCAAGGCCACTTTTCCTCTTTCTGGTCCCTCTGCACATGCCCTGGGCCGCCTCAATGGCAACGGTCACAGGAAGCCCCACCTTGTAAGGTCCTAGACCTCTCACCTTGGGGCTGGCTTCCCCTAACACTCTACAGAAGCCACTGAGGCCTGCACCTGGTTTGCTCCCCACACGTCTCCACCTGCCCTTGCTGACAAATCCCCCCGCCCAAGGCCCAACTGCCAGGCCACTCTTCTGAGATGGTACTCTCACTCACACAGGTGAACGCAGGCTTCCTCGTCTTTCCAGGTAACTTCAGCTGAGAGGGGAGCTTCACTTACAGCGATTCAAGCGCACGTCTCTCTCCTGGGCCTAAATGTCCTGTGGTCCAATCTCTCTACAGCCTCAGAACGCGGGCCGGGCTTCTATCCACCCAAGGGCCCACGCAGGTGCTTACACACTGCATCCCGTCACTGGAGTGCCATGACCTCAGAGCAGGGCTCCTGAACTAGTCTGTCAGTCACTGGCCACTGGATGCCATTGGTGCAACATCTACTCAGCAGCACGCCCTCACCTATATTCCCACAGGCGCCCAACCTGGCGCCCAAGCGGCACTTCCTGAATACACCACTGATCATCAGTAGCCTGAGTAATTTAGAAGGACAATTTTCCCAAGGGTAGTGAGCTCAACTTTTCAGATAGGTCAAAGGAGGTTCTGATTGAGCAGGAGCCTCCAACTCAACTTTAACAACAACAGTGGATTTCAGGACACTTTGGATGCCTTCCTCTTGCTCCGCTCCCTCCAGCTGGTGAGAAAAGACTCTGATCCAGCATGAGTCCTGAGCACTAGAGGAGAACCCTGACGCTGGTGCCCTTCAGTCACTTGGCCAGGATCTCCCAGGGAGGCCACTCTGTCCCCACCCTACCCACCTTTCCTACTTGGGGCCCCAGGTGCGTGGGCTCCTCTGTCCCCACCCACTAGTCCTGCCCACACGTCCCGAAGCCCTACACACTAAAAGTTCTAGATTCCCTGCCCTCGCCCTTAAAAAAGTCCAGTGGCCAAGGACATGAGCTCTGGGTTTTATTGAGCTGTAGGGAAGAAAGCCGCTTTCCCTCTGTCCTTGGGATGACTGCTCTTTGTGTAACTTGGCCTAATGACTCCTAATGGAAAAAAGATAAAAGACAAAAGAAACCATGCCAGATTTTTCTTTAACTAGAAATTATCTCAGAGACTATGAAATGAGGTCTGGAGAAGGGCAACAAGTATGGAGTGAGTGATGCCAAGTTTTCTTCTGAGACTGAGAAAGAAGTCTCAACTGATGCCAAGTTTTCTTCTAAGTCTGCAAAGAACTGCCTGCCTGCCTGTGTGATTTCAGAGATAGAGCATGACATAGGGACGCACTCCTCCGCTCCCCTCCAGCCAAGTCCTCCCACAAAAATGACCCACAAAGAGACACAGCAGGGTGTGGGCCTGGTGCTGCCATTCGCTATGTGACCCTGGCTGATCTCAGACTGATCTGTAAAAATATGGATAATAATGTCTACAACACTTGGCTGTGATAATTAAAGAAGATAATAAGTGTGAAAGTACTTATCAGGGTGCCCGCAGCCTCGCTGAAGCCAAATAAATATGAGTTTCCTTATTTCCCTTATTTCAATTAATGCATGACACACGCATTCATTTGCCAAGAATGTCATTTCACAGGCTGAGGCTTCCCGAGCCCCGGCGGTGCCTCTCCCTGTAATTAGGGTTCCTCCTCTGCTCAGAGTCAACGTTGCTTTCACACCCTCGCGTCTGTCTCCTGCGTCTCCCAGCACTTTTCCCTCTTGACCCTCTATTCAAAGGGTCATTTTAAAATACACCTGACTGCAGTGACATCTCCTCACACTCTGAGCTCCCCCACCTCTTTCCTGCTCTTGAACACTGTACACAGAAATGCCCGCGGGACGGGACAGAGTGTGACTTGCTTTGGTGATGTATCACCTGAGTACCACATACAAGGCTCAAGTTCATCTTATCTATCTGGTAAATGTGTAAACATCTCTATACATTAGGAATCATAATAATTTGGTGGGTGGAACACTGGGCTTGCATGCGGTCCTAAGTTCAAATTCCTGATCCGTCACTAAACAGCTGTGTGACCACAGGTCGCTCACGCAGCCTTAACTCACTCATCCACGAAATGGATGGTAAGACCTGGCATTAGTCATTCTTAGGCTCACTCTCACTCACATCATGGAGCTTAGAGGCCTCAATCTCATTTAGCCCTCGAGAAGGAACAGTACTGATGGGGGGGACTGAAAACAAAACCTTCTCAGGACACAATGAGGACACTCAGCACCCGAAAGGGCCCAGATAAGGAAAGGAAAGAGAAACACGGCCTGGACCCAGGGGACTTCGAGAGAAATGAAAAGTGGATTTTTATCAGGCCTGTCTCGAGTGACACTTGGATTGGGAGTGCAATAGCAGTTGGCAGGTCAAAATGTTTACAGATTTGGGATTCTAATTTTTAATTGTTAAAAAAAAACACATAATAAAACATACCATCATTACCATTTTTCAATGTAGAGTCCATGGCAGTGTTAAGTATGTGCATGTTAGCATGAAACGTCTCCAGAATCTTCCCATCTTGTAAAACTGAAACACTGTGCCCGCTGAACAACTCCCCATTCCATTCTGCTCTGTTTCTATGAATTTGCCTACTTTAACTATCTCAGATTCTGGCTACGTTTACAGCTGGGTCACTACTTGTAACTTGTTTTATTTGGGAAACCAACATGAGTGTGACTGGGGGAGACAGATCTGTGGAGCAGGCTCCCTCAGAAGCACGAACCTTGAAGGCGACTCACAGCTTAGCTGTTGCCATAAACCCAGGCTGGACGCTCTCTGGCAGCCAGAATTCAGGATTAGCATGGCTAGAGATGCATCACCACCCGACTCTCAAAAAGGGCCCAGGAACAGTTACAACAAACAACACAGAACTTCAACATTCAGGGAAGACTGACACCCGAGGGGGGATCAGTGTCATTTTAGAAACATGTGCTAGCAGACGACTACCAAATGTGGCCAGTGGTCTCAGCAAACACCCGTCAACCCCACGTACTCTAGGCAGAAATGAGCATGGGACTGAACTGGAAATACAACACACATGAATACTTCATCATCAGCTAGGCCTGTGAAGCCCATTCCTGATGCAGCATTTCACAGTGGGGCTACATCACATGGAGACCTTCTTTTCCCTCTGTTAGTGGAAACCTTGAACTTGAGACCAAAGTCAATATAGACAGAACAGGAATTCATATAAACCGAGGCCTGTATCTCTGGTCTGACCACTCACAATGAAAAAGGCTGGCTGGGGGCACCCAAGTCAGCACAAGAAAGAAAGGAGACAGACAGGGACTGAGTAGAGAGAAAACTCCTTTGCCGCCGTGCCCAGGCAGACTCGCCCAGGCTTTCCAAACAGGGCCGGGGCCTGGCGCTCAATCCAGCACCCGAGGAAAGGGAAGGGAGCAAGCTGGTGAGGAGAAGCCCCTGCCTTCCCATCCGGGCCATGCAGAGTCAAGAAGAGAAGACACCACACCTCCTCCTGGGCTTAACCTTCTCGCCAGTACAGGAGCTACACCCACTAGGACAGAGGCCACTGAAACTCCTCTATCTCACCCAGTCAGTGCTTCTCGTGCGGCTGGGCAGCGAGGTCGGGGCAGGGAGGGCCTAGAGCTGAGAACTCAGTCTCTGGCAGTGCAGGAGGAAGACAAGAAGTCACATGCCCCAGGCCAACAGCTACCAAGACAGGGTTCTTCCTCCTGCTGTCCAGCTGTGCATGGCAAGGACATAAAGTTTTCTCATGAATGTGAACCATAGCAATCCAGACTGTGGTTTCAACTGGAACATACTGGATTTCAACAATGACCAAATGAAGAGGAACAAATATCTGTCCTATGTAAAATATATGTTGTCTTCTTGAGTTGAGCTGAAGAAGGAAAAAAAATTATTTAAAAATGATCACAAATCCACAGGTTCAAAAGAAAATGAAGGAAAAAATGCTAATGCTGGAAATGTGATGCTCTCAGAATTATGTCTGCACAGAGACTGATGTAACATCCTTCCCAAGGTAAGAAGACTTTCAGAAACTCATATTTAAGGAGAAAGCTGATATTCAGGCTTTGTAAACAAGAAAACACCAGAACACACAGAGTAACAAACTCAGTTCAAAAGCAAGTTGTGACATCTCAATGAAGACAGGAACAATGGGAAAGACAACAGGAGACCATCAGTCCAGAAACAGATTTCTGATCCAGAGGCCTTCAGGACAGCAGAGGGAAGTGGAACAGGCAAAGGAAAGCTTTAATAACTAATGGCTCACATGAAATTGGAAAATTAGACTCCAGAGGTACAAAGAGGAACCCCAGATGGGACAAAGATGCTTCTGCTGACTTCAGAGTTAAGGAAGGGTGTCTAAGGTCTACAGAAGTCAAAGCCAGATCCAGGCAAGAGTGTAAGAAAAACCATGAGTCAGGGAAACTTGCTTCCTCATTGAGCCCCAAAGGGAACATGCTTAGAAAGAACACCAAAGACATTTTGGTTCAGAAATAGTTGAGAGTGATTCTCCATCTACAAAAATGGTGGAACAAAGGGAACACTTACCACAGTGACAGAAGTCAAAAACCCCAAGACATTCCAGAGGAAGAGGCAGGGCCCACTGTGGCTGAAGGGCGACAACAGCCTCGGGATCCTGCGGGGTCAGAAACATGCGGAGAGAAAAGGAGGTGTGTATCAGGGGCCAATGAGGATCACCAGGCTTTTCAAAGAACTGGATATTCTAAATATGGGGTCCCAGCTGACCCTCTTATAATCAGGACTTATACTATCAGGACTTATACCAAAATGTCGAATTCAAGGCATGCAGGGCCAAACAGAGGATGAGAAAACCCGAGCAATTCTATAAAGGAAAAGCCAGGCATGTCTACACAGCTTCACTTCAAGACACAAGAATCCTACTATCATAAACAGCCTCTTGTTAGGAATTTATCCACACTTGAGTTCTAGGTTCATATGAGAGACCGAATAACTGACTCTGGGACTGGCTGGAATCCTAGAGAGTCTTAATCAGTATGTGGATCAATACTGTTTTTCTCACTTATTTTCCAGGTGAGAGGGTAATGAAGAAGTAGGGACTGAAGGCGGGTTGAGTCGGTTCGTATCTTGGTTTTACCACATGCTGGCTGTGCAGCCTTCACCTCAGAGGTTAAGAATGGGGTTAATGAAGATAAGAAAAAGCACCTGACCTTGTAAGGGACCATTATAAGGTAGTTTGAGGGTTAAATAAGTTAATGTATGACAAGTATTTAAAATAGAAATGCTAAGGGCTGAACCATGGTTAGCTATCATTATCTTATTTATTCCATCTGCTCCCTCCCCCCTCTGCTATATTCTAGAAGTGCCAAGAGTACTTTGGGTGTAGATTCCAAGACCTACTTTAAAGTTTGGGGAAATTGCTTTTCCTTGGGAAGTTTAATGGCATATTGAGGAAGTCAGGTATCACTGCTGCCATGCAACATTCAGATGGGACACTTCATTTGGAGACTCTGGGGCTGGTGCTAAGTTACTATATATCTACATAGCTCCTCAGAACTTTGAGAGGAAGGAAACATGTGAATGACATAAGGTTCGAGCTATCCAACTCTGCTCACAGCCATCTGAAGCAGCTCTATCATTTCAGCAGCAATCACTAATACAGAAATGGAATCCTACAGGTAGCCCTGAGTGACCCTGCAATATCTGAGACTGAATAAAATGGGGAGAAAGGGGAAATCGAAAATGCTTTCAATATATTTAGGGATTTCAGTTTCTCTACAAGAACAAAGCGTTGCCTTGGAATGAAGGTTGTTAATAGAATATACTCTAAAGGATAGAGACTTCAAATGATTTTGACAGAGGGCCAGGTTTTCTCTTCCTTGCTGAACTATACATGCCAATCATGGTGCCTGCTGGCCTGCAAATCCTACTAACAGCAACTGCCTCAGCTTTAAGGGTAGGTCCAGCTGCCATGGACCACATGACTGCTCCATCTCACGTCACCACAGCTTCTGAGAGCAGGTGGAGACACCTGACCCACGAGCTTAACGGAGCATCTGCTGTGGCCTGGACTACAAGTAAAAGCTGCAACAAAGTCACATTCCCAATCTCTCCCTCAGGAATCTAAACAATACTGAGAACCAGGTAATGAGCCATGAGAGATGAAGCTGAAAGGTTAGGATATACAAAGGAGCTGGAGTGGCCATGTGCAACCACAGCAAACCGAAGTCATGAGGGTAGAGAAACTCTAAGTGAGGTAGAAAAAAGACTGACGGGATAAGGGAAAAGGATAAGCCAGATGGCAGCAAGAGGAAAAAGACACAGAGGAAAGAGAGCAGCCCTGAGACCCTACTGTCGATGGGAAAGACTGCTCCTCCGAGCTGCCTTAGAGAACAACAGCTTCCTGGTCCAGGCGCATCCTTAATGTCATATCCCGTTTCCTAAAATGGAATGGATCTCTGCTCTTTGCAACAACAACAAAAAAAAAGCACTAACTAAAGCAGTTACTTCAGCTCCCTTGAGAATGGAGTTTTCCCAGGAGGTAGCTCAGTGCCTCCAACAAACAGATTTCTGGCAAGTCCACCCCAGCCAGACGTGCCTCAACATCTCAGCAGAAGAGGGGTGTCTCATTCTCTATGAACCTTCAGTATAGGCCCCAAAGCTTATGAGCATCTTAATGGCCCATGAAAATATTTTGAGACCTGAAAAAATAGTTATTGGATGTAAAATATGAAAAGGATGTAGTAAAATCAAAGTTAATAAATTTTTAATGACTATAACTAGTCAAATGAAGCTTAACTCTCAGTTCTATATAAGCTACTTTTGCATGGGACATGGGTAACATGTTTTTGTTTGACATGTGACATGCTAAAGGTTGCCAAAGACAAAAGTGCTGAGGCCTTCAGAGGCCTGCAAACCAGTCCTGTGGAACCAAACATGTTTGGGTGTAAGCTGGAGCCTGCCCACCCTACCCTTTATAGAAGCTTATATGTTAAATATTATGCCTTACTATTCAAAACTGAGCAGTCTGAAGTCAGAAATCAACCCTCACCTTCCAAGTTTAAACAGACTGTAATTTTAGCACTCCTGAGTTAGGAGTCTATTATTTTTTCTTAATGAAATATTTTACAAAAAGGAAACCAAACAACTTCTAGTAGCTGTCCTATGAGTTTTACCAAAAAGAAGGGAAATAATGTTATTCAGGTTGCAAATGATCATGTACATTTAAAGGCCATCTGTCAGAATAATAAATCAAAAATTGATCACAGGTACTCTCTTCTTGTGCAAGAGTCCCCTCAAACGTCAGTGAACAGATCCGAACATTCTCTTCCATTTGGCCAGATTCTCCCTCGCACTGGGCTTCCCTGGTGGCTCAGACAGTTTAAAAAAAAAAAAAAAAAATCTGCCTGCAATGCAGGAGAACCAGGTTCGATCCCGCTTGGGAAGATCCCCTGGAGAAGGAAATGGCAACACACTCCAGTATTCTTGCCTGGAAAACCCCATGGACAGAGGAGCCTGGAGGGCTACAGTCCATGGGGTTGCGAAGAATCAGGACACGACTAAGCAACTAATGCTTTCACTCTGAGAAAAACAGAAGGGAGCACAGAAGTTACACAAGATTTAAATTTTACACCTGAAAAGCACAAAGGCAAATATAATTCTCTTTCTGTAGTTACTGCTTATTCGGACCCTTACTGGGTGAGCACAGACAAGCTCTCCGTCTGTTCCACTGTGGTCTGTGACCACTTCTGCCTCCCCATTGTCTCTGCCGGCCTCCCCGCACACTCTACACCTCCTGGTCCTGCCCCAACACACCCACTGCCCCACTACATCCCACCCCCACAATGCCTCCACTGCAGAACTGTTCCCTAGGAACTCCCCGGCAGTCCAGTGGTTAGGACTCTGTACTTTCACTGCCGAGGGCCCAGGTTCCATCCCTAGTTGGGGAACTAAGATCCCAGAAACCACGAAGGGCAGCCAAACAAAACAAAACAAAACTGTTCCCCTCCCCTTCAGAGCTCAGGCCCTCGTTCACGTCGCACTCTGACTCTAATTTACACGCATCTCCTCGATCCCCAGTTCCCTACACTTTCTCACCTCTCCTCAGGCCTTGGCCTCTTCTTTTTTTTTTTTCTTTCTTCTGGCTTTTTTTTTTCTCCATTTATTTTTATTTGTTGGAGGCTAATTACTTTACAATATTGTAGTGGTTTTTGCCATACATTGACATGAATCAGCCATGGATTTACATGTATTCCCCATCCCGATCCCCCCTCCCACCTCCCTCTCCACCCGATCCCTCTGGGTCTTCTGGGGGAGAAAGCGAGGGTGGGATGTTGTGAGAGAACAGCATCGAAACATGTATATTATCAAGGGTGAAACAGATCACCAGCCCAGGTTGGATGCATGAGACAAGTGCTCGGGGCTGGTGCACTGACCTCTTCTTTTATTCCTTCTTTCTAAATGAGTGTCTGCTAAAGCTATGTCCTCACTCCATCTTTTTTTTTTAAGCTCAACCTCCTGCTTGGCTTAAATAAGAGCCATTTCCATAATGACAATTCCACACTCTCTCATAGCAGGAATCTTTCCCTATCAACCCACAGTGAACTGAAAATCACTAATTCACCATCTTCCAAGACCCTGTAAAAGGCAACATCTTCCCCAACAACTCTTCTAAGCCAGGAACTTTGAAGTCAACTTCCCCCGCCCCTCACCCCCACACACACACCCTTTCACTGCATCTGATCTCTGCTTATTTTCTACTCTCAGCATTTAAACCCATGCAAACTCTCTTCTACCTTAAGGAAAACCAATACTTAGCCGTCTCTAGCTGCCATATATTTTCTCCATTTCCCCATCCAGGCTTCTTAAAGGCTTAGTCTCCTGATTTCTATCCTTTCATTTCCCATTCATTCCTCGACCCACCACCACACCACTGAAGTTCCTCTTGGCACCTTCCTGCTCATGCTGGACACTCCCTTCTACAACTCCACTCTCAGGACACCCACTGGTGTCAGTCTGCATGGAGACTCCTGCCCCTCCCCAAGTACTAGCATTCCTGTGGGTTCCATCCTGGCTCTCCTCTGCTCCCTACTCATACCCAGACCAGTTCAACTATCTAGTCCACTGGTTATTAATTCTAGCTGTTAAAGAAAAGCTTTTGTAGGAGTCTGTGTTTTAACTGTTCATAAGGCCTCCAGAGGGCACTCAAACACTTGCTCATAAATCTACACGGATAGTTAGGCTAAAGCATTAGAACTTGCAGCGAATTTCACAGTCGATTACTACCTCTAACTAGTTACTAAGCACCATGAAGACTGGTACAGCCAGCTTTCTTCAGGTTCCCCGATCCGAATTGTGAGTCTGGGGGCTTGTCACAAGGTCCTAATTCTATCATGACAGAGAGATACAGTGATATGTTACTGAATATTGGTTAACTAAAAACCTGACTTGTGTTTGCTGGCTGATGCCAAGTACTTTGAATCACTGAAACATTCTTAAATCCTATCAAGCTTAATCCTACATGTTTGAAATGCACGTCTAAAAATAATTTTGAAAGCCAGAGGGCCATAATGGGGTTTACTCTGAGGAAAGAGTGTTCAGATTTTTTTAATGAATTGCTTTATCATTTACCTAAAGAGGCAGAATTTATAACCTTTG